GCTCGTCTCCCGAGGCCCACCCGCGGGAGGCCGTGCGCAAGAGAGCCAACCTCAACTTCCACGTCCGCGACCGAGAAAGCCGTATCTTGCCAGAGGCGACCTCGAAGCTCAGGCCTGTGAAGGTGGTGTCCGCGCCAGCCGCCTCCACGCCCTTGCACTTCAGGCCCAGCGCCTCCAGCTTCGCGGCGACCCGCTCAGTCGGAGGTCACCAGGTCAGCCTCCAGCCCCACCACAGCGACTCCGTCCACGTAGACGGCCACACGGTTGCGGTCCGTCACTGACGGGGCTGCACGGCGATCCTGGATGAAATCGGAGAGGGCGAAGCCAGCAGCCTGAACACCAGCCATCACCATGCATTGGCAAAAGTAGAGACTCCACGTCCACCCCATGGGAAGCACCTCTAGGCAAGGTGACGCCCACGCCTCGATCCCTGGCGGCAGCTGGTCTGAAAGGTCAGGCCTCAGCTTCAGCAGGGTGGGAAGGTGGACAGCTCTCAAAACGAACATCTCCTGCGCCCCCCGCGGCGAGCCGATCCTGTAGAACGCGTTGTCCGCGTCGGCCTGAGCGAGGTGCAACTCCTGGTCTATGGGGGCCTCCAACGCTGACCAAGCCCCCGCCGTCGGGGGCACTGTGTGCGCTGGAGCTTCAAACAAGTCATTGACACGCCGAGGGCCAATAATTAAACGCTGCATACCATTCGATTTGTGCACAAAGAAGGCACCCGCAGTCTCCTCCCGCTGCTGCTTCAGGGAGACCACGCCAGCGTCCAACAGGTCATCGACGAACTGGGCGCAGGTAGATCGGGAACGAAACTTGCCGTCGTAGTGGGGCTTGGGCGCCTGGCTGCCGCCCTCGGGCTGTCGCTTCAACAGCTGCCTCCATCCTACCCATTGCTGCAAAGCTTCTCCCTCCAGGATGCGGCCCCCATCGGCGAGGCCGCCCCCCTTCGGCAGAGAGACCAGGGACCGGTCGTAGGACGCGATGTGCTCCGGCTCGAAGACGTAGCCGTGCCCAGGTCCGCACAGCTCTCGGTGGGCTGCCGCGGCGGTGCAAGCTGGCAGTGCCCCGGCGTCCTCCGCCACGCGCCTGACATGCTCCAGCCCGCACTCCTGCGCGAGCGAAGACTTGCCGTCGGCGGGCAGCGACCCGTGGCCATACAGCTCATTAATTGAAACCAGAACTTCCTGCATCCAGGCGTGGAGGTGCTCCTTCTTGCGGAGTCGGCCCCTCGCAGCTCGGCTGCAGGCGCCCGCAGGGGGCGCGGGCGGCGGGCCCGCAGGGATAGCCACTGGAAGCAGCTCCCGCGGGACCGCCATGGGAGCGACGTAGGCTACTTGGCCCCCCGGCCGCCACCGCGGCCGCGTCCTCCGCCGGCGCCTCCGTCGCCAGCAGGTGCAGTCTCACCGACCTTGTCCATCAGCCTGCGGTTCTCGGCGGCCTGGGCGTTCACCTTCTGCTGCAGCCCCTGGGCCGCTGCGGATGGGCCCCCACCCGCGCCCCCTCCGCCGGGGGCGCGGCTTGCCTGCCTCTCCTCCTTCAACTTCCTGCGCTCCTTCATCACGGCGGCCTCCTTGTGGAGCTGCTCGGTGATGTGATCCGAGAGGTCCGGGCTCGCCATCGCCAGGCCGCGCGTGAGGCCGGTCCCCATGTACAAGAACTCATCCTCCGCGAACTCGTCCCCGCCGTGCTTCCCCAGGATCTTGTCACGATACCACATCTCCGCGAGCTGCGCCCCCCTCAAGAGCAGCTCGAAACTCGCTAGCTCGGTGATGTTGAGCTGGTCGTACACCACGGCGAGCTCTATCATTCTCATCGCCAGCTCGTGGTCCTGACAACCGATGTCCTGACCACCCACCCCCGCTTCATGTCTCCATTTCGTGTGCCGCGCGCGGGGGTGGGTGTCTTGCTCAGCAATGAAATCGAGACACCACCGGGCGGTCCTGGGGCCAAGGATTGGCCACGCCGCCCAGCTTGTCTCAGTCATCTCTCTCACACTATCCTTGAATGGGCGCCGTCTCTCGCCACTCGGGCTCTGGACGATGCTGAGCACGCGGGCATGCGAGTCCAAGTCGTCCTCGACGCCTGAGCTCCTCCGCAGCAGCAGCACCTCTGAGCCCTTCACGGCGAGCGCGCCGACGTCGCAGACAGCGAACTCATCAACGTTCAGGTTGCCCAGCAGCGTCTTGCGGGGGGTGCCGCCCGTGCTCCAGACGACCTGCCAGCCGTCGGGCGTCGGGGGCGGCAGCGCCCGCGATCCGACCTCAATCAGATTCGCCACCGCTCCACCCCCAGCCGCCACTACTGCCAGCCGGGGCTCCAGCCACTGGTCGCCGATGCACAGCTTGATCATCTTGGCGAACTCCAGCGGCGTGGCGCTCCAGTCCGTGCCATACACGCGCGTGCGGTTGGTGAACCGGGTGCCGAGGAGCGTCGCCCGATCTGGTCGGCCCTCGTCGTCGCACAGGATCAACCCGCTGAGCGGGCCCACGTCCAGGCAGTGAGGGTAGGCGTCGCCGTCCGGGGTCCCGCACCACCATATCTTCCCTGCTGCTATCTGTTCGGGAGTCGCTTGAACTTCCATGATGGCCTGCAGATCGGCGGCGGTGGCGGGAGCGATGGCGACGCGGGCCTGCCAGTCTTGCCCATCCCACCACTGCACGAGCAGCCTCCTGCCGGCCTCCACAGCCATGGGGACACCCACAGCACAGGGCACTCGCTAGGAGGAAGCCGAGGATGAACGAGGTGCTCGCCAGGCCCCGCGTCCCACCGAAGAGATCCAGCACTGCTACGCACTCGCCCGTGCTCGCAACCACGGGCGCCAACACACTTCTGATCGTCTGCGAGGCTGTCCAGCCTCGGGAGAGAATGTTCCAGGAATTGGAAAGAAGGGCAAGCTGCATGCGGACTGGCCGCAAATTAATGCACTTGAGCCCGATGTCCATGGATGCACATCGGTTTATCGAGGCGGCTGCGCTACAACTTAGAGCACTAACGTTTGAAAAACTGAATCCTATATATGTATGTGTGTATGTATGTATGTATCAACGTATATATGTATGTATGTATGTATGTGTGTATGCATGCATGTGTATGTACGTATGTATATATATATGATAGATAAACAGCCTGCCGAGATCCACAATGATCGATCTCACAAGCGGGGGTGATACATGTCCCCGCCTCGGATAATACCGAAGGTGTCCAGCAAAAGAACGCCCGCGCTGGCGCCGCCGCTGCGTCGAGGCGGCGCGAACCTGCCGAGTCCTGGAATGCCGACTGGCACTCTGGCACTGCTGGCACCGTCGGTGGCACGAGCGCGGCTCCTGAAACCACCCCGCCAGGCGGCACGCTGTCGCGCTGCAGCCCGCGCCCACCTGGCAGCAACGCAGGACGAACACCGAGAAGGCCGCTTCGACTAGTGTGCTGCGCATTGCTCTCTTCACCAAGAGGCGAGCGGCTGGGATTTGTTGATCGGCTGATCTCCTTGGCAGACAGGCTGCATAGACGCCTCGTCCTGCGCGTCGCTCTGCCTGCAAACGCATCCACAGCTGCTGGACTCCTGCCATGGACCCCGAGGGAACAGAGAGGCCAGTATGGTAGACATACATCCATCTCCATCACTCCGCGAGAGTCCATCGAAATTCTGGAGTCCGACTCTGGGGCGGGGGATATGGACATGTTCTGGCGGTCGGGCCGTGGACTGTTTTCTGGGTTCCGGGCCCGTTGCGGGCCCGTCGTGGACCAGACCAGACCAGAATCCGACCCGACCAAACTCCTCGACCCCTTTCCTGGAGTCCATCCTGACTAGTTTTCCTTGCTGCGTCCAGCCGTGGCCACGAATGAAGGCTCAGACATCCAATAGATTTGACTTTCGATCCACGGAATCCCGGACCCATGGGGGCCTGAAAGCGGCCGCGGGCTGCCGAAGTCAAAAAAAACATATGTTTGAAACAACTATTAGATTTCCAGTTCCCACGAAGGCCAACAGAGAGGTCAAAAACTGACTGACGAGGCGACGCCTCCGGGTCGCGGCCGAACGACGATCGCCTGGCGAAAGCCTTCTTTTTTCAAGAGAAAGCGCCCAGATCGTGCGTTGGGGCCCGCGCGGCGGGGCGGGCCGCCACCTTCACGGAATCGCCGCCGATGGCCATGTTCTGTCTCCTGTCCCGCCAGCGAGAAGGAGCAGATCGATCTCATACGATTCACCACTGGGATGGCGGGTAGCACGGAACACCGACACCAGCTACTCTCTCAAAAACAACCTGCAAGCTCGGAGAACATCATAACATCGGAACGAACAACAAATCGATCAACTGGCTCACAAACCGAAGCGGGGATGGGGGCGCAATCCCAGGGATAAGGCGGGGGCGAATGGGGAAGGGATTAACGGGGGAGGACTGGAGCGGATGAGAGACGCAAACGCTCTTCAATAAGAAAAGGACGAAGCCTCAGTGGAAGGACGAGAGAAGGAGAAGGACAATATTTGGATGAGAAGGACGGGCTTCCAAACAAGTGGACGTGCGGGTGCGTTCCTATGCCCTCTTCCCTGCGCCGATCAGCCCCCCCCCCCCTGGTCCCAGAATAGTGAGCTCAAGGTAGCAATGGTGATGTCCAGTGCCAGAGCCTGTGCTGTGCTGAACTGAAACGCGCCATACCGCGTCGAAATGCTGTGCTCTGTTGCGTTGCGGATCAGATCTTCCGTGGCGTCAGAATCCCAATCGAACCGATCTGGATATTGAGCTCGAGCTGCCTGAACCCTTAGTTCAAATCTGGCAGAAATCGAAACGCGCGGGGCCCTCGACCAGCTCGAGCTCAAAATCCAAGTCAGTTCGGCAGCGGGACGAACCAGAAGGGGGCGAATATGAATAGTTATGTGCCCTGTTGCGTCATGGATTAACTCTCCCGTGGCATCCGTTTCCTGACAGAACTGAGCTGGGCCGCAAACTCGAACTGTCTGGGCGCGTTGCGAGCAAAGCTGATTGCAGTCGAGACCGGTTCTTTTCCCTCAAACCCCATGCCGCAGTAGCTCACGTGACAAAGCGCCTGGGGCGACCCGGACAGTGCACGAACAAGTAACTCCAGAGATGGTCGCCAGGCAACCACCGCGTCCGTGGAACCACCTCGAGACCCTAATTAAGTGAAACGAATCCCGTGTAAAGCGCACCAGCCTGATCAGCGCATGGCCTGAGCGGCTGATTCAAACCTCCAGCACTACGTGAAACCTGAGGAGGACACAGCGAGGAGGACAAGGAGGAGCGAAGGATGGGGGAGACGACAGCAGGAGAGAGCAATCCAGCAGGTAGGCTGGGTGTATAGGATTCAAACAACAATAAGCTGAATGGGTGCAAGCACTCGCCGATATCTGTAGACTACCAAATTCAAGAAATGAGGCACGGACGTGCCCCGCAGCACCGGGGGGCCGAGCCCATGCGGCGAAAGGGCGAGAACCGGGCGGCAAGAGCGGCCCGTGAAGTCGGCCGACCGCGGCCGCGAGCTAAAACCCACACGCGCTGCCCGTGCACAGCATTAGAAGAAGAGGGAGGCGGAGGGGACGAGAGGGGGGCAGGAGTAGAGGAGGCGGCGCAAGCGTGCTTTCGCCGGGCGTCCCAAGCCAGGAGGGCCGCCGACACAACTCACATCGACCGGTCGCGCCAGGAGAGGTCCGTCTTGTCCTTCCGCACCCGGTCGCGCTGCTCCGCGCCGTGCTGCAGCCCCACGACGTGGTGCCCAGCGATGTCGATGCCCCTCGTTGCTCCCTCCGTGCACCAGGCGCGATTCGAACGCAAGTCCTGAGGGCAGAACCTGACGGCGACCAGAAACGGACCCAAGAGACGGAAGAACCTGAGGCCCCACAGAAGAACCCCAGACCGTCCAGAGATCAACGCAAAGCCCAAGAGGGCTACATTGAGTCCCATTCGTCCTCGGGCTGTCGAGGCGGCTGCGGTTGCGTCTGCGGGTGCTGGGGCTGCACGGGCGCGGTGCTGCTGGCGAGCTGTCCTGCTGTTCAGCGCCATGCCGATGCAAGCCGCCGCGCTGCACCTAGCAGTGCTGGTCCGCCATGCCCAGCACCGCCGTGCTCTCGAAGTCGTGGTGCCGGCATCTGTCGCACGGCGAAAACTCGGATATCGGAGCCGAGGGCGCGGCGCTCCGTCGTATCACAGCGTCGCACGCTGCGCAAAGTGGTACTGCAGAAATCCGTCGCGCAGCACAGAGTCGCATTGCTGGAGCCCGTCATGCTGCGCACCGGAGTCGCGGGAGCTGCATTCGACACTTCTGTCAGATGCATTGGGCACTGCCGAAGGTGCTGCCGTCGACGTTCGCATGGGCGAGGCCGCCAGGGACGCTGTCAGTGCCGTGGCCAGTGCTGCCGTGGAAGCTACGTGCTTCTGTCGGCGCCGCCGCGCCGCTGCCGTCCGTGCAGCCGTCAAGGCCCATGCGGGAGAGGCCATCGGGGAAGCTGCCGGTCCTGGCGTCGGTGCTGGCAAAGGGGTAGGCGCATGCGTTGGTGCTGGCGTCGGCGCTGGCAACGGCGCTGGCCTGGGCGCAGGCGCTGGTGCCGGCGTTGGTGCTGGCGTCGGAGCTGGCGTCGGCACTGTCGTAGGCGCCGGCGTGTGCTGGCAATGGTGCTGGTGTAATCGCCAGCGTTGCTGCTGGCGTCGGTGCTAAGAGTCGGCACTGGCGCAGGCGCTGGCGTTGGTGATGACGTCGGTGCACGCGTCGGTGCTGGTTGGAAAGCCGGCGTTGGAGCTGGCTTCTGTGCTGGTACAAGTGCTGTCGTTGGTGCTGCGTAGGCGCCAGCGCTTGGTGCTGGCGTCAGTGCTAGCGTCGGCGCTGGCGTAGGCACTGGCGTTGGTGCTGGCGTGCGTGCGCGCGTCGGTGCTGGTTGGAACGCCGGCGTTTGAGCTGGCTTCTGTGCTGGTACAGGCGCTGTCGTTGGTGCTGGCGTAGGCGCCAGCGCTTGGTGCTGGCGTCAGTGCTAGCGTCGGCGCTGGCGTAGGCGCCGGCGTTGGAGCTGGCTTCTGTGCTAGTGCAGGCGCTGTCGTTGGTGCTGGCGTAGGCGCCAGCGTCGATGCTGGCGTCGGCGCTGGCGTAGGCGCTGGCGTCGGTACTGGCGTCGGTGCACGCGTCGGTGATGGCTGGAACGCCGGCGCTTGAGCTGGCTTCTGTGCTGGTACAGGCGCTGTCGTTGGTGCTGGCGTAGGCGCCGGCGCGTGGTGCTGGCGTCAGTGCTGGCGTCGGCACTGGCGTAGGCGCTGGCGTTGGTGCTGGCGTCGGTGCGCGCGTCGGCGCTGGTGGGAACGCCGGCGTTGGAGCTGCCTTCTGTGCTGGCATCGGTGCTGGTGCAGGCGCTGTCGTTGGTGCTGGCGTAGGCCCCAGCGTTGATGCTGGCGCCGGTGCTAGCGTCGGCGCTGGCGTAGGCGCTGGCGTTGGTGCACACGTCGGTGCTGGTGGGAACGCCGGCGTTGGAGCTGGCTTCTGTGCTGGCGTCGGTGCTGGTACAGGCGCTGCCGTTGGTGCTGGCGTAGGCGCCAACGTTGATGCTGGCGTCGGTGCTAGCGTCGGCGCTGGCGTAGGCGCTGGCATTGGTGCTGGCGTCGGCGATGCCGTCGGTGCTGGTCGAGACGCTGGCGTTGGTGCCAGCGAAGGCGCTGGCGTTAGTGCTGGTGTCAGTGTACGCGTCGGCGCGGTTGTAGGCGATGGCGTCAGTGTCCGCGCAGGCGCAGTCGTTGGTGCTGGCGTCGGTGCAGGCGTTGGAGCAGGCGTAGGCGCCGGCGCTGGTGCCGGCGTCGGCATTTGCGCAAGCGCTGGCGTGGGCGCTGGCGTTGATGCCGGCGTAGTCACCGGCATTGGCGCTGGCGTCAGTGCTGATGTAGACGCTGGCATAGGCGAGGGCGCTGGTCCCCGCGCAGGCGCAAGCGTGGATGCTGGCGTCGGGGCTGGCAGCGGCAATGGCGCAGGCGCCTTCAATCACAATGGCGTCGGCGCTGGTGTAACCTCATGCCCGTGAGAATAAACACTAGGGGATAATAAAGTTCGGGGTTCAGGGAGAGATAATAAAAGTAGCCCAGCAGACCTCAGCATAATCTCGAAGTAAGAGATGATCAAGAGGAGACCAAGCCGAGCACGTTTTGAGACATCCTTGGCGTTTAGTTTTCATAGAAATATCCTCAACAATGGCTTATCTCGCTGGCGACATCCTCGACAAATCCCTTGTTTCGCTTGAGACATCCGCAAACTATTGCTTATTTCGCTTGAGACACAGTCAAACTATTGCTTATTTCGCTTGAGACATCCTCGAAATGATTGTGTTTTTCGAACTAATGCTTACCATCGCTAGATTCTATTTACAAGCGCTTTATGAACATTGTTTTTGTTGTAAGTGCTCGTGTAGGGTAGCTCATGTGCCTCAATTTCCATGGATAATCAACCCCAGAGATAAAAAAAGTTCCGGCGAGCGTGGGGACAGAGAGAAATATAAAAGAAGAAGAATACAGTATAATAATAAGAAAGAAGAAGAAGAGGATAATAAGAAGAGGACGAATAAAGGAAAAAACCAAAGTTCCAAATCTATCAATTTTAATTTACAAGCGCTTTTTATGAAAATTGATGTTTTTTAAGTGCTCGTGTAGGGTAGCTCATGTGCTTCATTTTCCATGGATAATCAACCCCAGGGATAAAACAGTTCAGGCGAGCGTGAGGACAGAGAGAAATATAAAAGAAGAAGAATACAGTAGAATAGTAAGAAAGAAGAAGAAGAGGATAATAAGAAGAGGACGAAGAAAAGAAAAATCCAAAGTTCCAAATCTATCAATTTTAATTTACAACCGCTTTATGAAAATTGATTGTTTAAAGTGCTCGTGTAGGGTAGCTCATGTGCTTCATTTTCCATGGATAATCAGACCCAGTGATGAAAAAGTTCAGGCGAGCGCGAGGACAGATAGAAATATAAAAGAAGAAGAGGAAATTATAATAATAAAAAGAAGATAAGAAGAAGAGAAGAAGAAGAAGAGAAGAAGAACGGAAAAATGGAAAGTTCCAAATCTATCAATTTTAATTCACAAGCGCTTTATGATAATTGATTTTTTAAGCGCTCATGCGCCCCCCTTTCCATGGATAATCAACCCCAGAAATAAAAAAAAGAAGTTCAGGCGCGCGCGGGGATAGATACATATATATAAAGGAAGATAATAACAAAAAATAAATAAAAAACTTGCTGGTTTAGCTTGAAACATCCTTGAGACATCCTTGGAACATTGCTTGTTTCGTTTGAGTCTGCCCCCCAAAATTATTGGTTTCGCTTGACACATCCTGAAAAAGTGTGATCGCTTCGCTTGATGTTGCTATATCAGCATCGCTTGATGTTGCTATCTCAACATAACGTTTCGAGGTGATAATGAAGTTCGGCCTCAGCGCTCGCCGCCCAATTTGAATTTTGTATAGGGCGACGATAATCAACTCTAAACACTGAAGGGGGGGGGGTCCCTCTATTATCATCGGCATGCGGTTAGGCGCTGGCGCTGGTGCAAGTGTAGGCGCCAGCGTCGGCGCTGGCGTCGTAGATGCCGTCTGAGCAGGCGCTAGCGCCGGCAATGGTGCCAGCAGAGGCGCTGGCGTTAGCGCTGACTACGGAACCCACGAAACCTGAGCGTAGGCGTCGGCGTTGGTGCCAGCGTAGGTGCAAGCGTTGACGCTGGCGTCGGAGACATGCTTGGTGCCGACGTAGGCGCAGGCGGTGATTCTGGCGTCGGTGCTTGTGTCGGCACCAGTGCCAGCGGAGGCGCTGGCGTTGCTGCTGGCGTCCGTGCAGGCGTCGGCGCTGGTGGGGGCGCTGGCGTTGGTGCAGGTGCAGTCGCAGGCGTTGATTGCAGCGTCGGTGATGGCGTCGGCGCTGACCTAGGCGCTGGCGTAGGTGCTGGCGTCGGCGCTGGCGTCGGTGCCGGTGTAGGCGCCAGCTCAGGTGCCGACTTCGGCACCGGCGTTGGCGCCCGCGTCGCTGTAGACGTCGGTGCTGGTGTAGGCCCTGGAGTTGCTGAGCGTCCGTTCGCCGAGCTCGCGGCCCGAGGGTGGCCCCGAAATCCTCATCGACCGTGTATTCTACCGATTCGAGGTCCATCCTGCGCGGACCACCTGTGACAATTAATGCCTGGGCAATGTGGCCCCATCTGGTTCTCCGAATGTCCGCGCACGCTCGGATATCGTACTGATGCAACTGCGCACGCTCACGGGGCTGTCCGTCCTGCGCTGGCTGCGCGGGCGAGTGTCTCGCCCATATGGCGTGAATGTATGTGGAGATTGAAACCACTGCGCGCTCCTCAGCCACATGTCGTTGGCCGGCAGCGCGGCAGGTGCAGTCGTAGGAGGTGCCCCTTGCATGCATCGTTGGCTGTTTCCGCAATTAATGGCATAGGCGTATCCAGAGCAGGCGCGGTAGCCTCCGTCGCCTGCACCGCATTGGCTGGTGAAGCGGGTTGCCCCGCAGCTGTTGTTGTAAGGACTGCCGTGATATTCATCGCCATCGCCGTGAAGCGTTTCAGCTCTTCGCGAAGGTCCCTGAGTTCGCTGGCCCCTCGAAGTATTTCTCCATGGCGGTTTGCTGTATCCGGATCTCCAGCATGGGCATGATGAAACTCAGCTGCGATGAAACCAACGCCCCTGCAAATGGCGCAGGGTGCCTCAGTTTCAGCACCTTCCATAGTGCCAACCCACTGTCTGTCCGCATGAGCGCGTGCAACTCGGCCCCAGCACTGTGCATGGAATCTGTGGCCACACTGAAGCCTACTGAAGCCTCCAGACCTTGTCGCGACACATGAAGTGGTCCAGGCATATGGCACACCTGTTAAAGTCACCGTCGCTGATGACTGGCGGTGTTGCCGATGGCCTGATGCGCGTCTGGCGCTCCAGAATAGTTTCGCCAATATTATGCTGAATCGGTGGGGCCGACGGTGGCTGCATATGGCTGCAAGTGCTGCCGGGTTGAATACAGGTGTCCCTGCTGTTATTGGAGTAGCAGGTTGCCCCGCGCGACCCAGCGCCCCGTTTGCCCGACGCTCGCGGTTGCGACGCTGGCGGGCCAACTGCATTCAGAGATTGGCCTGCTGCTGCGCCTCGTGAATGGCCAGAATCTCTGGGCGCAACTCCCCCGCGGATGATGGCGCTACCAAGCCAAGGGCCTTTTGAGTCACATCTGAATCCATACGGGTAGCCAGACATCCACAATGAAAAACCTGGCCCAGCACACCTGACGTGTAACCAGAGCCGCGTGTCAACTGAGACTGATGGAAATCGTCGGCTGTCGCCCGTACATACGGGCCCTCCGTCTGCATTCCCACATGAGGGTTACCAGTCACCTGAGCATGGTAGTCAGGAACCAATGAGAAGTCCAGCGGTGGTGCTGTAGGGCGCTCTGCAGCTGTCGGATCGCATGTCGGATGACTAAAAAATGCCGGCACGTATCCGCACCTATTGGGGTTGTCGGGTGATGGATTTGGACCCGGGACATACTCCCACGGCGGCGTCCAGCTCGCGCTAGGGAGCTCGATGCCGCCCCCACGCATGCT